GACGGAGGCAGTATGACCTCTGAAACGTTGGTTAACATCGACCACTACACAGCGCAACAACCCAGAAGACAGAAATCTTCATACTCATCGCTGTGAGAACCTCAAGTCTTACAACTTTGTTTTTGTTAATAGTGTAGTGTATTCAGTCTCATACATTGTACCTATTTTTATCCTAGTAGGTATATGAGACCATTATGCTGTCTGTGCGTATCCCTTCAGGGGTCTTTACTGTCTCCGTCGTCATGACCCTGGTGATGGATAGAGTAAGCACGTCTGAAATGTCGGCCATTTTCTACAAGACTACATGACATAATGTTCCAGAACACGGTCATCTTCAGAGACCTCTCATACTTGATAACTAATTTCATTGGACTTTGGAACTAGTTGAATAATCTGTATTATTAGGTTTATTTGATTTTAATTTTTGTTCTGTTTAGGTATGGTCAAAAGAAACCATGCTTTGTGTATCGCCTTGTTATGGACAACTGTTTGGAGAAGAAGATTTATGATAGACAGATAAACAAGCAAGGGATGGCAGACAGAGTTGTGGACGAATGTAACCCAGATGCTCATCTGTCCATTAAGGAAGTCACCAATCTTTGTTGGGATAATGAACAAGAAACAGAACCAAGGGACTTCAGTACTGAGAAGGACAAATACATTGATGTGGTGATGCAGAAGGTTCTGGACAAATTCAGCTCAAGTTTATCCAAAGTAGGTCCAATTGATTGCTCTCTAGATTGACATTTTGATTTCTTAATCCTAGCATTTTGATAGATGATTCGCAAGCACCTATTCAGTTTGAGATGGTAAATAGGTCATTGTATAATATTCTCTTTATGTTAAACCTTTGAACCATTTTGATATTCTCTCAGAAATCATTGTCAGGGACATATGATACATACAGATTGTTTGTTGCATTTATTTTTGGAAAGGAAGCTAAATATTAGGACACAGACTCTTTTTAGTATATTTATTTCTAGCCTTGGTTACAGTTGTATATCTTATTTCAGGAACCATTCCAACATGAGAGTCTGCTTGTTGACCGCAAAGAGAAAAAACTGTCTCAAGCTGAGAAGCGTCTAGCGAAGCGGTCTTACGAGTTGGAGAAGCAAGCTAACATCAACTACAGCCACAGACCACAGTATTCGTACTATCCTGGTGGCACAGCCGCTGCTGGCGGTGCAGGCATCCAAGGAACAGGTCTCCAGATAAGGTCAGATGTTATGAAGTGGTTTTGTGATAATATTTACACTTTGAATAAATAAGTCTTACTAGAATTTTGGGCCCTAATATGTGTTATACTGGGCTCACTGTATCTAGAAGCATGGGTCATGTCAGTCAGACTGCAGTACGCATGAGCAATACTATTTCACCTTCACTTGCATGTTGACATGTAACAATTGTAATGCTTCTAGTTATAGTGAGCTCATTGTACAAAACTTGGTTATATGTGGATTCCCTACATCAAAATTTTTCTTTTTATATCCTTTTTTTACCATTTTAATTCATTTTGCGTACCAGTCTTATGTGTTACATTTCCAGATTATTTATTGAAGTCTGTCAATAACTGTAAAAATTTCATTCTACCATTACAAGGCATCACAGGTCCCTCTTGAAACCCACATCACACTTTGAGTACACAGTGAAACCCTAAAATAAAAATAAATTCTCAGGAAATCTGTGATGCTTGAATATCAGCAATGCATCTCTATACTGCGATCCCTTCACAGGGCTATTAGGACAGATGGTTCTGGAGGAGTGATGCCAAAGCCAGTTGCCAGTGTACGTCCCATGCAGGCAGAGTTGAGTCAGCAACTGGAACGAGGACAAACGAACCGTTCGACAGTCACGACCCTCAACACGAGTGGCCGTTCAAGGTGGATTCCAGCGGAGGTGTGGCAGAGACAGGGCATGTCTGCTCAAGAGATGACACTTCCATTGGGTGGGTGTATTTTTTCATCTATCATTCTCTTAGCTGATAAAAATTGCACTGCTTTTGTTGATAATTGAGGTAGCAGTCCATGAAATTCCCGTAGATACAGTATATTCAGTTGAGAACGATGTTCGTCAAACTCTGCTAGTATGAAATATCTTTCAGACATAAATTATAGAACTCAGAGATATAAACATTTTGTATACTCAGTTTGAAATTGTAAGCTGTCTTTGAGAAATCTAAGTATGAATTGGATTAATTGTATGAGTCTTTATTTCATGTCCTATCCAATTCATTGTTGATTCGTCATCCTATCATTTGATGCTATGTAGTAATGAACATCATTAAATAAACCACAAGTAAATAAATGTGATTATCTTACTAATGTAAATAGTCTGCCACTTCAAGTTTGAAGCATATGCTTGGTAATGTTGATAAATGTAGTAGAAATCAGCGATGATAAACTATATGTCTTTGCTTTACAGACATGGATTTATTACTGTGTAGATACTTTCACAGTCTAGTTATAAAAAAATATGTACTGAGTTTTGTGTTGTTGTTCCTTGGCTCTACAACACAGTTGTGGGTTTTTGCCACCTCCTTTTCAGAGGTTTCCTAGTCTGAAGTGTGCATTTGTGAGTAGTGAACAACAAGCCCACTGACTCTGCACAATGTCTACTCAGTCCTGATTTGACTGCTATAGCCATCTAGCAGTGAATCAGGAGACTTGGGTAAGAAATTGCCGCTGAATTTTACATACGAAACATCTTGTTCATGCTCGTAAGGTTCTTTTACATGCCGTAAATCTACGACGTGGGACCTCCGACTTTACTTCCCCTCCGAAGGAAGTTGTGCTACGGATTTTTATCACTCTTAAAAATCCAAGGACCTTGGCCGGGTTTGAAGCCGCGAACCTTGGCTTCAGTGGCTAGCATGCTAACCATTAGTCCAGCGAGGGTGACACTGAGTTTTGTGTACACACAAAAATTATATTTTCAGAAAATCGGTTTTTATCCTAATGAGTTTTTGTGTACTCTTTCAGATGTTGTGATTCCCACCAATTCCCCAGATCGTGCTTCCATAGTGCTTAAGGCAGGCCAACGTGTCATGGTACTTAAGAGTCCCAAGGGAATTTATATGCAGCTGGAAAACGGAAAAATTATTGCTATTCGCACAGCATTCAAAGTGGGTGGTGCGGCCAAGGGATCTGGACCACAGCACCAGGAATCCAAGCCTGCTCTTGACAAAGCAGAAGTGAATCCTCCGGAATATAAGAAAGGTTTGCTTTCATTCATTTCACGGCATGCAACTCTTATTGTTCCATGATGATTAACTTCTAGATTGTTGCGCCATGTAGTTTTCTAGTAAGATTTGAGGTTTTCACAGCGGTAAGTATGAAGATTTCTGTCTTCTGGGTTGTTGCGCTGTGTAGTCTGGTCGATGTTTACCAACGTTTCAGAGGTCATACTGAAACGTTGGTAAACATCGACCATACTACACAGCGCAGCAACCCAGAAGACAGAAATCTTCTAGTAATTGACTGATGTACCAGAGGTGCTTACTGCCTCCATTATCAGGGCGAGGGACACATCATCCTGATGATGGAGACAGTAAGCACTTCTAAAATATCAATCATCATTTACAACACTACATGGCACAACATCGCAGTAGACTGTCATCTTCATACTTGAAATCTCAGTTATCGTTACAGTCGTACTTAGAAGGGTAATTAATTAACAAACTTTCATTCTGAAACTGAATGAAAATGTCAGTTTACATTTTTTTGTATTTGAAACAGATTTGTTTGTTGAAAGTTCTTGATGATTTTCGAATGTTTTTAGTGGTGAGAGAGTCTGCATCTAATAAATAAAGGGGATATGTGTGGTCACTCCTATATGCAGTGAAATGTCATTATTAAATTACAGTTACTTTCACATATTTTTGATCTCATTAATGAAACAGAAATGTCTAAGTTATCACACTGAGGCTTAGACTTATAAAGTTTACACAATAGCTGTAGCCAAGCCATTTTTCACAAAATACTATACTTTGCAAAATAAATCATGATTTTGAAATTATGTTACGTGCAAACTAGTATCAAACACCATGTTGTTCAGCAACATCAAGGGAACCAATGAATACTGTTGTTAGGTGTGATATGATTGGAAACAGTCCCCTCTATGGAGTGGAGCTGTATTACTGCAGTTTATTAGTTATTCAGCGTCACAATTAAACTTCTGGTAGGTAACACTCTCTGTTGGTAGAAACAAAAACAGAAGCATCCTCATGGTATCTGGAGCAAGGCAAAGCTAATTGTGTCAGAGTTGTGGGATTGGCATCCTTTCTTACAGCGTTTGTCTGTGCGATCCATCTTTTCAGAGAGCAGCGTCCCTTCAATAAATCGTACGGCTAACATATCGAAAGTTAGCAGTGTGCTTCCATTCAAGACTAACTCTGCCATCACAATAATACCAAAGAATGCAGTGCCCCAGCAGCGAGGTACAGCCAAGCCTATGGGCAGAATAGGCGGTAATAGTAGTGGGGGTGGAATCGTAAAACAGGATGTAACAGTGAAGCCTTGGGGACCTAGGACTGGTGCTTCAGCAGGTGATGCTGCATCCATGACCATGGGAGTTAACAAAAACGTCAGTTCTCAACAGCCTATGGCGCAAGCAAGGCCGTACTTCCATCGCACTGGCACGAGTGATAATACAGGTAACATGAACATCAGATTTTGTTTAATTTCAGAATACTAGTATTGCCTGGAAATATTTAACAGTTAAATGTTCTCTGTCCTTCATCTACAATGCAGAGTGAAATCTTCATATACACAAATTAAGGGCTATGACTTCAGACTTTATTATATAGAAGCTTCTTTTTTAACTTTACTTTACATAACTTATTCTTCTTTTGGTAAAGGATAGCTTACGAAGTGATGTCACAAATACGTCCCAGAACTTCTGGAACAGTGTGTTAATTTTTGGTACACTTGGTATTGGAAACCTTACCATTCTTTTATAATAAATTTCCTACTTTAAACAACATCAGTGTCACAATTTTGCAAACTTTCTGATGTGGGAAAGACTATTACTGTTGAATGCAGGGCTTGAAGTTCTGTATGGTGAATGGTCTTGTAGAATATGTGCAGTAATTTCTAAAGCTGTAAATATGTGTGGGATTTTCATTGTAACTGGGCACATTAAATTCATTGTGGAGATAAATTATGAGCATGTGATTGTTATTACAAAACATAAGTACTTTCAGTTTGTCTGAACATGTCACTTTCCTAGATTTTATATGTTATAAGTTTTTTTGCAGTTGTAAGTTTATTTTGGATGTGTCTGCTGTCATACAGAATGATACAAGTCAAGTGCAGATGTAGGTTATTACTATGTAATGAAAACAAATATTTATTTTTTATGATGTAGTTATTATGGGTGTGCCTCAAGTTGGCATGGGTAGTATGTAGGCAGGACAGGAGGGTGATTACAGGGATACACGCTGCGCTGTTACTGGACATTGTTCATGTCTTACAGACATAGACCCACTTGAAATCGCCCACATGTTGTGTATTTGTGCACATAACTACAGAGGTCGGTGACTTCGACTGATGGGTAATAAAGGGCGTCGTTGAAAATTTTTATTTGTGGCAGAAGGTAGTACTGACCTGTAAGGAGCTTCTCCCTTCGTTAAAGGAAATTATTAATTTTGATTGGAAAGTTACAACTTTGAAGCAAGTATTGAAAGAAATGAGTTTCAAATGGAAAAGTCAGGTCAGGAGAAAAATGTTAATTGAAAGGTAGAACATTGTGACCCATCTGTAGCAAATAAGAACATTTAGGGAGACAGGTAAGCCACTTTTGTATCTGGGTGAGACTTGGGTGGATACAATTTTGACATTTAGGAAGTGTTGGCAGAATAAGGAAGTTGTAGGAATTACAACTAATGTAAATGTGGCTTACAGACTTATTGTTGTCCACCCTGGTGGATCTAGTGACTTTGTTCAAGGCCATGAGCAAGAGGCAATTTTCACAGGAAAATTAAATCTCTTAACTTTGAAAGATGGGTAAATGAGAAAGTTATTCCAAATTTGGCAACTTTGTCTTTGTCATGGACAGTGGGCCCTACCATGGAAACCAAGTTGATAAACCTCCAACCAAGTCATCTCTAAAGAAAGACGTGTTGGAGTATTTATGAGTGCCATGCGATGAGGGTGTGAGGAAATTCACACTGTTCTCGTTTGTTGAAAAGATCCACCCCAAGGAGAAGGTGTATCACTTTGATATGCTGTTTGCACCACATGGCCATACAGCAATTTGGCTGCCACCTTATATGTGTGACCTGAATCCCATCGAGTCAGCCTGGCATCAAATTAACTACTGCATAAGATAAAACAATATGGCTGGAGATATGTCACTAACAAGACTGCAAGAACTTATGCATGAAGAGATCAAGGGAGTGAAAAAAGAAGATTGTAGCTGCGTTGCAAACATTGAAAATTCCTGTTAGGAAAACATTCATTTATGGTTGTTATAGGCAAATTCATAATTGTCTTGGTCGAAACTGACAGTTGTGATGGTGACAGTGAAGATGTGGAATCGTGTGTGTCTGATTTTGTCCCCCTGTATTGCAGGTAAGTGGAGTAAGTGGACTGCTGTTTTTGGGATAAAGTGTAGAGTAAAGTTCCTTCGCCCTGCCTATCCATCTCCTGTGACTTCTTGTGATGTGCCCATAATATTCTTCATTTTACAAAAAGACTGAATTTAAGAAAAGCTGCATATTTTATGAAGACCTGTTCTTCATACAGGACTATTAGAGGATCCTTCATTGAATGGCTTCATAAGTTCAAACAGCTATCATAATAATATTGTTTATAGTACTAAATTAGAGACTTGTTCATTTGATGGTTTTGATTGAATTGGACACAGGCGAATGTGTGGGGTTTGTTATTATTCCAAAGAAGGGGCATGTTCCTTCATAACTGAAAAGTGTGTCTTCTTTGTGCAGTTATTTTTAATATTGTTTGTAATCTGAACAGACATGGGGACTTCCAAACCATACTTCCATCATGAGACATCACCGTCCGATCATCTAGGGATGTCGGGACATCAGACAAGTGATGAAGGCAGCTCTGGTGCTGAAAATATGGTTTCCACTCCATGTGGTGAAGATAAGGATGGTATGGATACTGGTGTGTTAAAATCTCCCTCCTCTGATGATTTTAATCAAGATAATTCAATGAGCAGTCATGCTTTTGGAAGTATTCGAGAATCTAACCTAAATAACAGACCATCATATGACAGTAATATGGGGGATGATATGATACATGGTTCAGGAACTAACATTAATATGACATACGGAAACCATTCAGACCAAGGAATTCAAGAACCTAATATGAATACTTCATATGGAAGACAAATGGGGCAAGATCTTCATGATTCATCTGTTGGCATGAATCGTTCATTCAGGAGACAAGTGGACCAAGGTTTGCAGGGAGCAGGAAATGTTAGTCACCCATTTGGTAGACATACAGATCAAAGAGGACAGGAGACTTCTGTAAGTGCAAGTCGTGGATATGGAAGGCAGGTGGACCAAGGTATGCATGATCCATCCAGTGTAAATCATAGGTATGGGAGACATATCGACCAAGGGTATCATGATTCGTCAGTCGGTGCTAACCGTGGATTTGTGAGACAGCTCGATCAAGGCATTCAGGAGACAGGTAGTATAAATCGTTCATTTGGTAGACAGACCAATGAAGGGATGACGTACAGTCAGCAGAATCAGGCAGGAGGCTACGATGAACATAAAGATGCAGACTTCACTCAGTCTGATTCAGCTTCTGGTGGGAGGTACTGTCACACAGAAAATGAAAGTGGGACCAATAGGAATTTCCAAGGAACATACGAGGACAGTTGGCAGCAAGGCCAGGGCTTCCGAGGAATATCAAGGGTCAGCGATGGCACCCATGGGCATGGCAGCAGTATGACTGATGGCAGAAATTATCAACAGCAATTTAAAAGTAGTTCACATGGAATAGAGAAACATTCCTTACCAGACAACAGTACCAGAGAGCAGCAACACAACAGTTTCCCTGACTACAGCCACAGGCAGCATCAGCATCAGGAACCAGATTCGCCTACATTCCAGTCTGAAGTTACCGACTCTACGACCAGTGGAAATGATAGTGGCATAGAAGTTCTTCCATTACCTACACCAAACTTCACAACTGCAAATAAGGACTCACTGCCACACCAATCAGCAAATATTAATACTTCCCAAGCAAAGACTATGTCTTTAAAGAACTATAGGCATAACTCTTTTAACGCACAGCTTCATAACAGGGAAATTGAATCCAGTACAAGTGAGAATACTTCTGCCCCTGTGTCAAAACCTCTGCCTGGAGACCATTATCTGAAGTCTCCGCAACAAACTTCATATTCTAATGATGTAAAGTCCCCATCTAATTTTCAGCAGAGCAGTGATGAACTTAAAGTTTCCAACCGGAACGTCCCCCTGTCAAGTTTTCCGCACGGTGGTAACGTAGGAAACTTGTCAAGAGAACATTCGTCTCGTGGAATCATGGCTTCGGCTTTCCCCGGAACCAGTAATCACTCTGTAGGTCAACACGCATTACATAGTTCTAAGAATCGTCAGAAAAATCCGCAGAATATCGGAAGATACAATAGTGAAATGAATCCAAATAGTAATTTCAATGCTGGTATCATGCCACCAGCCACATCATCAAAATCCAAACGAGGAAACAGTAGGAGTGAACAACATTATGAATTTGAATCAAATGATTCTGCTTCAGATATAGGTAGAATTAGTCTTCAACAGCAGTCAACTGGTAAATCAGCAGGCAGGACCCAGATGCATTCTATGCAGTCTCAGCCATATCATGGGCATACATCACCACAGCAGGTGACATCTCACTCTTCACCTGGCAGTAATCCTACAAACATTGCTGCCACTCCAGCAACAAAGAAAGGGCGTGGAAACAAGAATACTTCTTCAGATAGGTCTCCCAGTTACTCAGGTGCAGGAAATAATAATGAAAGCGAGTCGCTTCGCCACGCGGATAACAGTAGCTCTGGTAGTTCCTCAAAAAATAATTCACATCAGCCATCTCCTCAAAATATGCCCCTTCAGTCTACACAACCTACCACAGTTTTCCCATCAAATACACAGTATCCAGCTTTGGACGGCAGTTCGAACAAACCCCTGGAACCATATAGCACTCCAGTGTATGGACATCAGCAATATTATGCGCCATCTGGTTATTATGGAGGCTTTGGTGGGCCTCAGCAATCACCTGTTGCATTTGGTGGAAATCCGTACTACTCCGGCGAGAACCAGTATGGCCCTGGAAGAGGCTTGCATGTGGATCAGTCAGTACCTACATCAAATAAAGACATTCACAAGGGAAATCAGTCCCATGCTGGGGCTTCGCCACCACAACAGCAGCAGTCTGCGCCTCAGGCAACGACCACGGCAAAAACACAACCTCCTTCAGGTAAGTCGCAGTCGATGAACTACACAGTAAATTTATGTTTCAAATCTTTAGGTTTGGTTCTTATAATAAAATGTCATGTCGTAAAATTTGACATGTTATTTTTGAATGAAAAATATTTTATGAATATACAATAAAAGTGATATGTTTGCCATTTCTGCCTAAATTAAATGATGGCATGCAATTATGAAGCAGCTGGAATTGTGTGATAATGAGCAAAGTCTGAACCTGTCTTACTATTTTGTACATAGACATGAATGAAAAAAACTATATCAAAAAGCCATCTAACCTTTGTGTGAAAATTATAATTGGCACATTCTGATTGTAAAGAGCCAGGAAATGACAGAGTTTCTCAGTGTGTACATCTTGGATAGCAGAGGTATTGGATATGTTCTGAGCTGCCATGTCTTGGTGAAGGTATAGCAGCTTGTTTCCTCTAAAATTGTAGGAAATGCTATACCTGATTTGTAAAAAAAACAAGAAAGAAAAGTCAAGTCGTCATGAGTTTTTGTCCACCTATTTCATTTGATCCACTTTGTTCTCCCACAGAGTGATGTGTGCATGCTAACGAACCCGCGGCCTTAATGAGCACTCTGCAGTTAATGTGTGGCTGTTTGCAGGGACTGGCTCTCAGAAGAAGGATCAGTCAAGCCAGCTTGGCAGCGGCGCACCAGCCTCGCCAACCAAAGCTGCCTCTGTAACCAACCCATCTACACCCACAGCTATAAGGGACATGGCAAGTCCAAGCAGTGCTAGTGGTGGATCTCGTAGTGGTAACAACAGCGCTCGTTCTACTCCAGCTACTGTTACTAACACAAACATTTCACAGGAGCCCAACTCTCCACAGCTCCATTTTAATACTCCAGCGGCTACCGCCAGCTCGACAACGCTGGAAAATAGATCGCCTGCCCAGTATAATTCGTCAATGACCACAAACTCAGCGCCGCTCGACCCTAAGTCGCCACTTCAGTACAATTCTAGCGCAACTGGTGGAAACTTGTCTTCATCAACATCGTCGTCTCTTCAGTACAACGCTAACACTGCCTCATCTAATTTTACTGCTGGCACATCGAGCACGCCCCAGAGTGGCATAATACCGCCTCCACCACATCAGAATCCTTATGAATCGATGATGCTGGGCAGTTACCCAGCAGGTGCCACTGGAACTGGCTATGCACCACCTCCACCACCAGGAATGGGGTATGGAAGCTACAACAACCCTGCAAATCAGTATGAGGCGGATTATGCCAGGGCATCCATGTACAGTGCATTCCATAGACCAGATCCACATCCTCATCCATTTACCCCCGGTCACCCTCCAGGTTTCCTCCCACCGCCTCAGAGTACTAATTACTACCCTCAGAACATGTATGCGCCAACTCCATATGGTACTCCTGATCCAGCATATTACAGCAATCCTTTCCTCAATGCAATGCATCAGCATCCGTACCCTACTCTGCCTGGAGCAACACAGAACCCTGGATCTCATCCCCAGTGAGCAATATCCACAATTCAACATCGCAGGTAAGCCTTTTATCCACACCTTTGAATCAGGCTTATAAGACAGAAATTCCTGAAACAGAATGAGATATTTTGTATAGATGTGTGAATTTCATTGAGCAAGCTTGGACGTGTATAACCGTATTTTTCTTTTAGGCTGTGGAATATTTTACTGTTCATGTATGTATATTTGTCAGTGACTTCATAAAATGTAATTTATTTAATTACACTGGAAGAACAATTTACTGCAGTTTTTCCAGTTTTATGTAATAACTTAGGCAGTGTTATTATGTATATGTTGTGCTGAAGTGCAATATTTATTTCAAAATGTTCCTATAAAATTATAAATTTGTTTTTTGTAATAGTCTTCTCAGTCTGAAGTGTAGTCTGTTGGACTGTTGGCCCTCTGTAACAGGTTAGTTCCAGCAATGTCTACCACCAAAAGTAAACATTTTCTTAGGGTTTCAGTAAGGCCAAAATCCAGTCTTATGACAAAAGAAGTTAGATTTAATTTGGGGGGGTGTGTGTGTGTGGAAGACATAGGTCCTTGATGCAGCACTTTTCCCAAAAATAGTTTTGTCCTCACAACCAGCCAATTAAATGTAGCATGTGAACACTGTTTTTTTAATAATAATGTATGTGTTTACAAATTATTGGAAAGAGTAATTCTACAGGATATTAATTTGTATTAAATAGTGCTGGGTTTACATCTGAAACCTCACACTAATTTTAAAAACCTTCAAAGTGTTCATTTACTAATTACACACCATTTGACTTCAAACGTGTTGTGTGTTTATAGTTTTCTGAATCTCTTGTAGCGTTTCATTCCAGAGAGTCTAACATAAGTTAGTAAATTCACCACGTTATGTCATTTGTGGTCTTTTGGGTTGTGGCACTATGTAGCTTTGCAGGTAATTTGGGATGTATCTCATTAAGATTAGGGCCACTGAAATTGTGTGGCACAATTCTTGACATTGAAGCTGCAGCTGGTCACATTCAGTTGTAGTTTACAGTCAAAGCCGTAGGTAAGTTCGCATTTTGCTGTATCAGTTCCTAGGGTTACTCAGAAGTTTGCATAGGGTGTTTTCCAAAGTGCAAGTACAAGTTATATACAAATATTGTAAGTTAGAGGCTGTAGGATGCACGTTTATTTGTGAGTTTGTATTTTGAGAACTGCTGTGTGTTCTTATTTCAGTCACACATCTATAAATCTGCAACATTAATTAATTAGTAATGTCCTTGTAGAATGTTGACGGTTTTCTTTGAAACACAAATGTTTTAGTGTAAGTCCAGTTGATTAGTAGGATTGTGATTCTTTCTTGGTTTTGATTTAGTGTGCATGGTTGTAGTATATTTGAATCACTTATCACAGTTGTTTTGCGTACTCTCGATATTTTTTGCAGTGAGGAAAGTCATTTTAGTGTTTCATATGTTGATGCATTTTACTTGATAATATTATTTGTTCCAGTTTACATATTAGTATCTTGTGTGTTTTTTGATAAATTTCTTCAATCTTCTTTTGTTGGAGAATTATGATGTTAGCATTTGTTTTGGTTTGCGTGTGTTCAGAAACAGAGACAGGCAGGTGATGTGATTAATACCGCCATAACCATTGTTTTTGAAAGGAAGCCTGTCTGGAGAAATGCTGTCAGGATGATTCATTCAAACTCTGCATGTGTTTGTGATTGCGTTTATGTGCTTGTGAATAAGCCTGTAGTTTAGGATAGTTTCACATTTAAAACATTGTTAAATTGGCACATGATAAAAATATCTTATTTAAACATTGATTGCAAACAATTGAAATGATAAAATGAGCTGCAAAATACACCTGGACACACAGTATCGTGTCTCGAGACAAGTCCGTTTATCCAGAACAAGTATAAGCTCATGGATATGCAGACGGACAGACCGCTCCTTTTTTACTTTCTTCAAAGAACACTTACAAAGAATGTAGTGCTTTCATGCCTCAGTTACCGTATTTGTGAAGCTTCAATATTAAAAATAATCTGGAAAGAGTACACTGTTGAAGGAACTTAATTTAACAACTTCCGACTTTAGAGACTGTAGTGACAGGAACACTTAACCACATTTACATACAAACAGGAACTGTATAATAGGCAAAGAAATATAAACAAAATAATTTGATAACAGTGCCAGAGAATATAGGTGAAGTTCATTTCTCGGTGCTGTGTACATCAAGATGCCCCTTGATAGCAGTGACCTTTGAATCTGTCACTTATTCATTCTCTTTCAGTCTAGTATTAACATTTTTTGTGACAACTAGACATGGACTTGGTTTGTGAAGTGTTCATGCACCCCTGCTTGTCATAGAGCAAAATTCTCCAAGGAAACAAGAGTCTTATATTTATTCCTCATTCCTGAAGTACAAGCTCCTTTTCTGCAAAGATACAGTTTCTACGAAACCTGCCATCTGTGAAATCTAGCTGTGTGGTTATTTCCTGTATAATCCACAGTTTATGTCCTCTACTATCAGTGGTCATCAAAATTGAAACCAGGGCTTGTCTGCTTCCACCTTGCCAGCAACAAACAACTAAAATTGAGTTGGGTGCCATCAAAATGTACTGTATCGGCATCCTGAATGTTGGACTGTTTATAGATCACAATATAGCAATATTAGGTGCTTTTACAGGCATTTTGAGAACAACGTAGGATTAAAGTTTTGGTAATTAAGTAAAATTTATTTGATGTTGGTTTAATATGTATGGAATAGCCATGGTGGTCTAGCGGTTAGAACGCTGGCCTTGTAATCCTGGGGTCTCGGGTTCGATTCCCGGCGGTGCCCGAATTTATAACTTGTGTTGGGCAAGGCCGTGGTCTAGGCAACACGGAGTTTTCCTCCGTGGCATCCCAACAATTACTCCTTTCACACGCAGAAGAAGGCAATGGCAAACCACTTCTGGATCATCTGCCAAGAACGTATATGAACAGGTCCCAGTCCGAGAAAAGGATGGAAGGATCCTGTTCATATGGACCTGTCGTCAGACAGAACACTAAATAAAGAAAAAAAATTAATATGTATGGGACAGCAATTAGATTAAGTGGAACAAACATTCTGTATTGAAGATAAAGTTAATTAATGAACATGTAAAAATAAACTTATGTTTATTGTAACATTGTTCCTTTTCACCTACACAAAGCATATTTTCTCTTCGTCTAGCCTCTCTGAAGATGTTTGTCGCAATATTACATATTTGAAGTTTAGAGAATGTATTTTACCATTCTTTCATTAAATGAAATTGCATCCACATTAGTAAGTACGTAGTTATGAGCGTCAGAAAGAACAGTGGTAATAAAATTAGGCTATGGTATACCTGTTCCATTGGACCAATTATCAGTGGAAATAAAATTAGGCTGTGGTATACCTGTTCCATTGGACCAATTATGTGATATATAGTAGGTATACCAATCAATCCAGAGTAACCAGAATAAGATGGAAGTTGATGACGTGTAAGAATTTGCCATCTGGCATATAGAACGCTTAATTGAGTGGAGTTTACTAAAATGAAAAAGTCTCACTTTATAATAGCTTTAATAATGGCACTTCAGGTAAACACAGATTGCGTCAGACTGAAGGAATTGATTACCTTTCTGTTCTAGTGTGAAACTGTCCTCATCAGATAGATTATCTGGATATGTGCACTCATAGATTTGCTGTAGTCTGTAGTTTTCAGCTTGATTTTACTGGCAATTCATTTTAAGTTTCTGTTTAGCTGTGAGAATGAATCCGTGTTTTTGCAGTGTAGCAGGTATTTATTTTTCACGTGAGTGGTTCTCGTTTCTTTTTCGCTGTTTCTTGGAATCTGTACCCAAACTCCTACAACACATTTATTGGCAAACATAAACACATCTTAATCTGTTACTAATAATGCAAATTGCATGTCGTAAAGGATCAGCAGTCTTAAAGTGTCTTCATATCAATGTAAAGTTGTGTTCTTCCATGGCATTACAGGTTGTAAATGATTGGTTTTCTTTAGTATGATCTTTCACAGTCTGTTCTTTTACCAGAAAGGTTGTCTTTCATACGGTGAATGATAACACAAGGAAATGCACAGCAGTCTAAAATCTACAGATCGTTCTGAAGGAAAACAAAATAGATTACAGGCAGTATTATGCTGACTTCATACAGAACATCTCTGTTTGACTATCCAGGCTTTCCAAGATACCGTACCAGAAACAATCCAGTTAAAATTGTAGAGAAATCCTCTGTAAAAGATTCTTGTTTCCAACAACCAGTGTCCCTGGTCGTGGTGTGTATGTGACTAGAACAGTGTTATACTTGTCACATGTTTGTAAATTTTTATTTTAAATATTGATATAGTTCAAATTCTGATGCTCTTACTATTGATCTTAGACATGGTGGTGGGGGAAACAGTTTCACCCAGAATGTCCTCACAAGTTTAATACATCGTGATTATCAGTACTCTTGAATTTTTCCTGTGTACTTTTCAGTTTTAGAATGCTTCCAGCTTCTTTGGTACAGCTCGTACTCTGTATAAGTGATAAAAATTATGGTAGTTAATATTCCTTCTTTGTATTTGGGAGGTCTTGGGTTCATATATCAACCTGAGATTTTGTGGTTTCCTTTAGTCCCCCTGGGCTAATTCCTGGATAGTACCTTACGCTTCGCCATGATTGCTTCCTTCCATAACTTACCAGGTTCATCCTATTATTCGACTATCTATAGTTTTAACTATTAGCAGTGCAAATGAATAAAAACAAATGTGTGTGAATGAACACAAAAGGGGCCTATTAGCAGTGCAAATTAATAAAAATAAATGTGTGTGAATGAACACAAAAGGGGCCAATGACAACAGATGGTGTGGTGTGTAAAATCTTGAAAGAAAGTGTTGTGAGGAGAAAGTTATACACTGGATAATGGGATTTTGCTTGAATCGATTGTAACTCATAGTTTGTTGGAGTACATTTTGTATTACAATTACGAAGTAAGGGATTAGTGTTTTTCAATAAAACGTATCCACTCTTTTACCATATAATTTTGAGGA